TTGATTGCCAGTCTCATCATGGGGAATAACTACCACCAGCTGCCCAGCAACTCAACCAGGCCCAGCCAAGTTGACACACAAACATAACCACCACAGATACTAAAATGAATGGGTATTAGTATGAACTAATTAGTATAAAACTAATGGGCATTATACTTTAATGAGGAATGGGCATTTTACATAGGATCACAGTATATCCCCACAAGATAATTACGTATTTATTAATAAGTACAAAATATGTTTTGATTTACAGTGGTGTATCTGGCAGGAACATGTTAGCTCGGTGATGCAAGTTACCATCACCATCATGGAACATCGTGGCACCGGGTATGATGCACTGAGAGGAGCACAGCGTCACTTCACTGTTCCTGCCAAAAATGCATAACTTGAATCTAATGTGGAAACAGGCAAAACCAAACTTAGGTATCTTCTAAGAAATCGGCCTCTACTCTAAAAAGTCAAGGTCTTGAAAGACAAGGAGAGATAAATGGTTCCATATTACACGTGGCTAAAGAGACATGACAAGTAAATGCAACATGTGATCCTACATTGGCTCGTGCGCCTAGAAAGGACATTACTGGAACAGCTGACAAAATTTGAATGGGATCTGCAGATTAGAGGTAGTTCTGTGTTAATTTTCTGATTTGATGGTTGTACTGATGATTTAGTTCCTTAGATGAGTATCCTTGTTTGTAGGAAATTCACACTGAAATATTAAGGAATGTGAAGGCACCATACCTGTAACTTTCAGGTTAGTTTAGGAAAAAAATGTATAAATATAGAGGTAATAAAGCAAATACAGTAAATTGTAACTATTGAGATGGCTGGGTAAAAATATATAGGAATTCTTTGTACCATTCTTACACCTTTTCTGTAAGCTTGAAATGATTTCAAAATGGGAAAAAACATAAAGTTATAGAAATTAAAACCATAATGTAAAGCTGCAATGAAAGAACTGGCGAAGAACAAGGCTCCGGGAATTGATGGCATACCGATTGAGATATTTCAACAAACAGATGCCCCATTGGAGG